AGAGACATCGGGTAGGAGACTTGGTCTCCCTCTCTGTGAGCTTCCTTTCCCTCTCCTGGAGGAGATGCTGCCATGGTCTGTGCTCTGACACCCCGTACTGCGCTGTTTGCCCCGATGGCTGGTAGCACCCCAAACTGGGCTTTTCTGACAGCTCTGCAGTCCCAAAGTTGTAACCTTTGTGGGCAGAGGGAGTCTAGCGTTTGGATCCTCTGCTAAGGAAGGGAATAATCCCCTCAGTTCCAGTTGCTTCTTGATTTGCTGCCTCATCTTATCCTTGCCAATCTCCCAAAACCTGATACATGCCCTGCAAAAGGTATTGTTTCCATTGATTGAGCTATACAGATGGTTGGTAATTTCTCTTGTATTAGCAGGAAAGTTTACTGTGCTGGGCCGTGGTTCTCCACCTTCCTTATCTATAGGCAGCAGAAGTTAATAACACTTTATACAATAATGTTGTCAGGCTTTTGGTGTCGGTTTTGTTTCTAATATAATGCACATAGAAGCCATATGCCAAGGTTATGTTAATTGTGATTTAGGAGGTGATCCTGCACTTAGGAGCGTGCTGCCCAAAGGATTTGTTTGAAGTAATCCAGTGTTAACACCTACAGCACTAGAATCCTAAACTCTGCCAAGTAATCTTCGTGCCCTACTCTACTTTTTCTCTCACTTTTTCTTTGACTGGAATTTTCTTTTAGTGTTTGTCCCGCTAGCTATAGGCACAGTGAAACTCAGAATGTTTTAACGAATGCCTTAGTGGAAGTTAAGCCCCTCAAGCTTTCCAGTGCAGTACTTTTCCTGTGGTGCTTCCGTCCTCACGATGCTTTCACTGCCTTTATTGCTCTTGTCATTCTGGTTTCTGCAAGGGTCAGTCTGTCTCCAGCTGAACTACCTCTCTTCCTGTTTCTGCTGAAGTTTTGCTCTTTTGAGGCATTTGTTTTGAGTGGACGGCAAAAGTCGATCAGTGTTTTTAGGTTTAAGTTCAGGAAATTGTAGCTTCCATGGCTGGTGAACCTACGCTTTCTGGAGATCAGACTCTTCAATATGATTCTGATTATTATCTACAAATTAGTTGTGATTCATTAAAAAACCCTGCAAACCTTAATTTTATGCTTTTATGCTGTATTTTATGTTTTGAGATTTATTTGGATTTATTTCCATTAAAATGCTGGTAGTGTGGCAGTTGTCACAACATAAGACTTCTGTTCTGGACCTGTAAAGAATTGTGCATGGAAGAGCTTTATGATTCTTCTATACTTATTAGTTGATCTGATAAAAGATACGACTTCTTTATTTCACTTAAAATGTATTTGGCTGTCTAAAACTTATGTGCACTTGATGTTCTCTCAGAATCCTGTTTTTGGGTTCAGAGCTGCAGGGTTTACAGTTTGCAAGAAATAGTGAAGTGAATTGTTTCTGTAGCTAAAAATAGTTTATATTCGAGATGGCATTGAAGAAACTGGATGCATGATAGTTGAGAGAGCTGTGCTGAATTAGGAGACTTAATACAGCTGTAGGAAAAAAGTACTCTGCAGAAAGATTATCCCCCAAGTAAAGCCCTTTGTGAAGTAAGAAACTTACCTGTTATCTTGGGTGTTTTCATTTGTAGGAATTAGATAAATCTTTTTTCTCCTGCAGACCCCTTTGCTGATGCAACAAAGGGTGACGACTTACTCCCGGCGGGGACTGAGGATTACATTCATATAAGGATTCAGCAGCGAAACGGAAGAAAGACACTAACAACTGTTCAGGGAATTGCAGATGATTATGACAAGAAGAAACTTGTGAAAGCTTTCAAAAAGGTGAAGTTACTGATTTGATTCAATAATAAAGATTATTATGTAAAGGAGTACGATAACTTTTCATACTAAGTAACTAAATATTTGTTTTATTACCTTCTTGCCAGTGCACATCACTTTCACATCCCAGTTGATCCTTTTCCTTGTCTTTCTCAAAACTCCTGTCAGCATCTAGTGACAGTGCTTTTTGCTAAAAAGTTAAATGTTTCTTTCCTATAAAGAAGTAAATAAAATATAGTTTGAATGTTTCATTAAACTTTCACAGATATCTGGTTTTGGTTTGAAGAATAAAATCAGGTTCAAGTGGAACTAGTTTTGCATTCATGCTTCAGTCATAGCTGGGTTGCTGTTGAATTAGAGATCTTTGAGTTTTGCCAGGATGAAAATACTTATTTTAAAACAGTGTGGAGTTGAAAGGCTGTATCTTACGGCTGTTCTTGTAATGAGTGTTGGCCAATTCCTTCTGCACAGTAGCTAATCCTGTCTGCCTGAATTTACCATCAGCAGCTTACTTTGTTTGTACGCATCAAGAGGCAATATTCCGTTTGCTCTCAATAACAGTGTAAATTAGATCTAGCCTTTGCCTTGCTTGACATCAGAATTTAGTAAGCAGCTTCTGTGACAAAATTCTGCTGAAAAAACTTACTAAGCAAAGCCATAATGTACATCAGGTAGCTTACAATATGAACATTTCTCTCTAGAAATTTGCTTGTAATGGTACCGTGATTGAACATCCCGAATACGGTGAAGTTATCCAGCTTCAAGGTGACCAGCGGAAGAACATTTGCCAATTCCTCTTGGAGGTGAGGGACTGCAGATAAATATCTAAACCTTTCTGGAAGCAGCAGAGTGACAGATGGGACTGATGTTAATTAACCAGCTAAAGTTGTCCACTATAGCTCCTTTGTATTTTCAGCCAAAAAAGTAAAATGACACTTGCAGAATGAGGGTAAAACTCCAGTAAGAATCAAAGCACTGTAGAATGCATTTACCCTGCTACAACATACCACTTGTTCTCTGGCAGTGCATCTGGAGTGCTTCATTTGTAAACCACAGTTTTGAGACCGAAAACAATATAGAGGAGAGAGTCTTCCACCAGTAGCTTACTGATGCAAATCGTGGTGTAGCGGTGTTACACTGTCAAAGAGTAAGTGCTGGGACTACAGAACAAATCAGATGACTGATAAGATTTTCTTTCTTGTGTAGTCAGTTCTTCTGCTTGGCCCAGAAGCATTCTGGAAACTAGGAGAGTGCTTTATTGACTACATACTGTATGGCAGTTTCTTTAATCAAAGTATAAGATTGTGGCAATTTGATATCACTTTAATATCCTGAGCATGTAAGCTTAACTGAAATATGTTGCTTTTCTCCTTTAGATTGGCATTGTCAAGGAAGAACAACTGAAAGTTCATGGTTTCTAAAATACCTGTACTCTGATGAAGAACCCTGCAGTATTTGGTCTTACCTACTCTGGCTCTTCTGTGAAAAATGAATCTTTGCAGTGAATGGACTTCCCTGTTACCTGAACACTTCAGATTTGATTCAGATTTGCATGACTGCGTGAAACATGTGGTGTGTAGACTAGAAACACATAAGAAAACTTCAGTAAGGTGGTAATGAAGACACTTGTGAACTTCAACACATTTCCAGTGGAAATGTTTTAGTGATGATTGTTCAGTTTACTACTCTCCACCTGACTTAAATGTGTGGGTTGTATTAAATTAGTGTGTGTGGTTGCTTAGAAATAAATGTTTATTCATATATTTTCTGGGATATCTGAAATGCTTTAGCTTAAGTTCCAAACTAGCACAGCAGCCTTACTAAGGAATGGCTAAAATGTTTTGTAGCAAGTGTAGCTCACTGCTCATTGAATAAATTGGAAAATCTACATGATGAAGTGTTAGCTAATTAATCATCAGTAGATTAGCTTAATGTGATCTTATCCTGTAGCTGCAAGACTAGAGCTTTATAGTCTTTTGTGTAGGTGCATCTTAGTAGCTGCATGGTAAGACACAAATTGTTGCTGAGTAAGTAACTGGATCTTCTCTAAAATACACTGCAGTGACTGTGAAATATTAGTGTTGAGCAAGCATAGTCAGACTAAAATAAGCTGAACTCCTTAAGGCCGCTGTTACTGAGAATGCGATGAACACCTCGGTCTTACATAGTACTCCCAAAACATTTCAAGGAAGCGCATGGGACTTTGTATCTCTTCTGTCACTGAGTGAAGGGGAGAGACACTGAGTTGACTTCTGTCATGACTGTGCATTTAACGTTGGCAAGCAGAGTGCTTTAATTACCTGTAGTGTTAGCTGCGGAAGTAAGGAGGGGAACAGGCTCCACACTGACCTCCTTGTTTTGCTGTGACTAATGATTAATGTGGAGGGGTTTGTAATGGGGTTTGGCTGCTATCACAGAAAGCTGATACAGTCTACTTTTCTAGCACGCAATTCATTCACTGTGGTCTGAGGTAACACTAGGTTTGTTCCACCATGCTTTTCGTCTAGTTTTAGTTAGCTGTAGGCATTTGGTATTCTGCTTTTAAGACATGTCTGTTTACAGAATAAAATTACTTCATTTGGTGAAACATGCAGATCTTAATTTCCTTGTGAGCTGGACATGGACATTTTCTCAGAAAAAAGTCAAAACATGCAGAGCTAAGAAACAATAAGAATAGTGGGTAAAGTTAAAAAAACCCACTTTTTTGTAATATAACATGTTCTCTGGAAAGCTAAAAAGAGACATTTCTTATTCAGAACAAAAAACAACTGATGACTACCCATGTAAACATCCAGAATAGGCAAAACTAGATTACTTAATATCACCTGTGCCTATATTTTATTTCCTGTTCAGACTTGTCTTTCTAAACAGAAACACTTAATTTTAACTCATTTCAACCTTTTTTTTTTTTAAGATTTCTGAATTCCGATATGAACCTTTCTAACACTAACAGCAATTAAGAGAGCATTATAGAGCCTCATATGACAATTTCTTTCTCTGTCTGGTCTAGACAGTTCCACTTGTAAGAACCCAGTGTCCAGTCTCTCAATCTGCAAAAATTCTGCCTTCTGTTACAGATCTTAACTGTTCCAGAAAAAGGATGTTCCAGAAGACTGTATACTGTTAAGATATAATGTGTTCAGGAGGAGGAGGAGGAGGGAAAGCCTGCTGCAAAACATGAAATACCAGCATGCAGAATGAAAATCCAGAGAATAAGTCTTCTGCGAGTCTCACTCGTTAGTAGAATAAAATCATTGTACTGCAAGTTTACCTAGTCCTGATTCATCGATATTAAATTATTTAATCCTTTGGGGATACAGAGCACTTAGTGATTCTCATTTTATCAAATGCCAGGAAAAACTAATGTTCTCATTTAAAAGCTGTTCTCCTGCCCAAGAGGAAAAACAAGCAGTATCTTCTCCTGTTTCACTGGTATTACATGAGTAGTTCTGGTGGGGTTTTGAATTGGAGATTAACAAGTGATTAGCAAGTCTCATGTGTTACTGAGTCAGTCTTCACTTCAGATGGCATTCCATTAGCTTCTGCTACCTAAGCTTGAGTCATTTCTCTATAGTCATTCTGCTTGGGATAAATAATAAAAAACTGTTTTCTTTCTCCTGATTTGAAAGTCTTTTCTGATAGAAGGAACCTTGCAGTTAGGTGGCTTGGTTTTTATGGTCTAGTAGAGCTGTTTGTGTTTTGACCTTTGAGGGACAAAGTTAAAAGGAAAGGGAGTAAGAAGTAACACGTTTGAAGTTTAAATAGCTGAGATTTGTTGTGGCGACAAACAATATTTTTGGAAAGAAAGCAGAAATTTTTGTCCTTGAAGTGTTTTAAACTAGGACAGTGTCTCGATAAGATTGTAACTGGCCTTCAGAGAAGCCCAGGCCTCTTTGTTCTAGAGAAAAGGCTTTCAACAATTTCATGTTATCTTATGCTGCAACTTGTCAAAGCTCAGCCTCTTTGGAATATATATCCATGTTTTAAGGATGCTGAAAAACGTGAAAGACACTGGGAAAGAACTGTTTAAATTACTGCCATGAAAACTGTTTTCACAGTGAAGACAGGTTTCAGTCTTTCCATCTCTTCCAAAATAGGTTAAAAATAGTAAAGGATGTGGCCTATAATTGCTGAGGCAGTAAAAGGAAGCTAATAATAGAAAACACTTTTAGTGTTTAGCCACTAGTAGGACTTGAGACTGGGCAGGCTCAGACTGCCAAGAGTGGTGGCTTCTTTTTCTTGGAATATGTGGAGTCTGTGTCTTTCCTAACTAAACCAACATTGCCGCCTTAGCGATACCGAGGCTTGACCACAAGCTGCAATTGGATGTAGGAACTGCTGTTTCATATTCACAGCCTTGCTGTGCATAGTTATATTGGGCTGCTGTAGCTGACTCTTAGATGATACACTGGAGTAAGGTGTTGCATCAATAAATTCATTGAATTGTCTGTTCAGGGCCCGTATCTACTCAATGCAGCTATGAACAATGAAACCATCGCTTCCCGAAAGGTGGTAGCAGTGGGAGATCTAGTAATGTAATTCTGTAAACTGCCTACTCCCTTATGTCGTGTGAATTATCAGACCCTTGACTTTCACCTGTGGTCTGCTAAATCTGACTTTCAGAGAAGAACATGAAGAGCACACCTATGGGCAGGTGAGCAATAATTTTCTCAAGTGAGAGAATCTTTGAAGAGAGCAGTGCCTAGATTGTGTGTACATGTTATTCATTGGGTCAGTGGCTTTCTTTAAACCTTACTTCCTGCACTACGTTGTTGCATTGCCTAAATGAAAAGCATTTTTGTTCTGGAGAACTGTTTTGGAGAGGGAGAACGGAACCCCACAAAAAAACCTCACCTTAGGAAAGAAGTTTGTATCTCAAGTCAGTTTTCATTAACTTAGATACACCTGAACTGCAAGACCTCTCTAACACTGTTATTGCTATTTCTGTATCTTTAAATATCCCAATTAAACTTTCTTGAGGGCTTGGCATCTAAGTTTTTAAATATATCTAAAGCCATTATAAAACTTAAAATTGTGAAGAGTTGTTGAAGTTTAAGTTTTAACCATTTGAAAAAATAATAATTAAGCAGAGCTCTGCATTTTGCCCTATTCTGCCATCCTGCTTATGATCGGTATGCAGTTGACCTGAAAAGAGCCATAGGGACATGTACCCAGAGCTCCAGTCAGCCATTGTCTTTTCTTTAATCCTTCTGGAAGGCTCTAGTGTACAGGATCCATGTCCCACACCTTTTGTTTAAAGTGGGTCGTGTACAAGATTGTATTCAGCCAGTTAAAGATTATGGGAGGCCTTTTTATAAATGACTTTGGGACACAGTAGGGATTTTTGTCACTTTTGGTGTGTTCAGTGTTGATTAGTGTGACTGAGTGTTCCTTTAATCAGTGTGTTACTGCCACGGGGAGACAGAGGTGGTCTTAGAGGGTCGTGCATTTAAGTATTAAGAGTCTGCCTTCTAAGCCCCTCCATACATCATCTATGCTCAGTTTAGTCCTGTGTCCCCCCATGTGCAGCAACATGAACACTAGTTTCCAGTTGCAAGATCAAAAGCTCTTGACATGAATAAGGGAAAAACAGCATAGCTTTGCTGTACAGATGCTTCATGCCTACTGTCTCCAGTTTACATTTAAAAAGAAGAAAAACTCGAAAGAGGATTTGTACTTGGCATGCCTTTTTAATGTTTGCTACATGCCTGTGATTGATCTTTTTACGAACAAATCTTAACTTGTATTGGAGTATTGCTGGAGAGCTGAGACTACAAAGTCTTGAAATAAAATGTACCAATGTTATTTTATGTATGCTTTTCTAAAACATGGAATTTTACGCTATTATTAAGGAGGGTTGGTTTTTTTTGTTTGAGGTTAGAAGTAGTTGTCTAATAGTGATGTATGTGATCCTCTTGTAATCAGCTTTGATTTCTCCAAGAAATGTTATATTTCCTCTTTTAAATTTCTACCATAATCTGTATTAACAGACTTTAAAATATTGTGACTTGTACTGGGATATCATAGCTCTAAAATAAGATGATGTATTGGCTTGAGGTCTAAAATTTTGGGTAGAAAAGGATTCATCTAATTTCTTGAATAAGCAAAATGTGCAGTGTTTTAAAGATGAAGCCAGTAACACGTGCTCAAGTTTGGTCTCAGCTATTTTAGAATGTCTTGCATCTGCGAAGTATGACAGCACATTTCTGAAATTACTTTTGAGTCTGACTAAAAGTATTTGTGTATATAATAAATGGTTGGGATTTTTTTTTTCTATTTTAAGCCATCTTTGCTATGATTATGCAGCACAAAACCCCACGATCCAGACACAGTTCTCTATCAGTTAGCTGATTTCTGCAGACGTGGTTGCAAGTCGACTGATCAAGCTCCTCAAAGACAGGATTTAGCTGTCGACTATGTTTGTGGTTCCTCTCACAACTGGAGAGGAAAACAGCGCTGTTCCTGCAGTACAGACAGACAAGCCTTGGGTGTCATGATGGGACAGCTAACACCATGAAAGAGGTGGTGCTGCAGCTGTTCTGGTAGCCTGTCTTCTGTGAACTAGAATATTGCTCTTTTAGGGAGACCTAGCAAATGACAGATGCATTGATGTGTAATCAGAGAATAGTTCTTGAGTAAGAAAGGTTCAAAATGGTCTATTCCCAAGAGTCCTGGAAAAATCTACTGAAAGGCAGACCCTGTTGCAGAGGAAGCAGGCTTTAGCTGCTCTCTAGGAAAGTTACAATACTCATGTGATGGTAA